GGAAAACGAGTAGTTGACTTCTCTGATTCTTCATTTCTTATAGGTCAGATTGATCTCAAATCAGGGAATAGGAAGTTAATAACATTTGGTATTTTTTCCTAAAATATGGATGAATTCAGTAAACAGATTAACAGCCCGTACAAACCTTGATAACATCGGAGCCGTTCTGCGCAGTATTGAAGATATTATATATCGTAAGTTATCTTCATGTTATAAAAATTAACAAGTTCTCCTCCAAGTAAGTGATTATTTTTAAGTCTAGAAATGAAGCTTAGAAAAGAATTCTAGTATCATGATGATTTGCAAATTTCTAGAATTTATTCAATTTGAATCATTTACATGTTAATTTTCCTGGATTACGATCAGATTATTCGAAATATAATTCTAAAAAATTCAGATTCATGTCTGATCTAAATTTCATTCAGTTTTAAAGTTTTTTATAACTAATGTATTTTCTGAAAAAAATTTTCAGAATACAATTTATACGCCATATAAAACGTCTTACGGAAAAATTTTTAAACCGCGAGTACTCCTATAGATTAATTTGATGCACCATCCACATAATACTGCCTACTAAAACTCTCCAAATATAATATTAGACTGATTTTGTTGAGCCATGCATAGTTCTGTGGCAATTGATAATTAGAAACATAAATGCTGAAAAATTTTTCTAGTGGGAATGATTACAAAGACTGAAATCCAAGTAACACAACAACCCTTGGTGAAGGAGAAATGAAAAAGCAAATAGTAAAGCATCGAAAGTCAACGAAAGGGTAACTGAAGGAGTGTAGGAGATTACGTTATAAAATATGCACATCTGATGGTCTTGCCGACTTCAATTTTCCGCCGCAGCGATGGCCCAGCAATCTTTTGATAAACGGTCATGCGCCGAAAAGCTAGACGCGAAATACCAGGAGCAGTTTTAAAGGATAATCCCTTAGTGAGTCCTCTGAAAAATGCGAAAACAAGAATATAGGGTAGGCAGGAATTGCCCTGAGTTTTGCCTTAGTTTATAGAAGGATACATGAAATTCCTTCACCTTGAATGCAATTAAAAAATTTTTAGGGAGCAAATTCAAGGTAATTGGAAACATATCAGTATTTTAATTTTCTTTTATTTTGTGGCATTGATTAATCTTTGAGTTGAGCAATCATAGGGCAATTATCTTATTAAATAAAATTCAAAAGGCTATATTGCTAAATGATTGCAAGCATGATGAATAAGAACTTCAATGGCAAAGGGCACATCACGAATTTCGGCATATTTTGAGGAAATTTTCATTGAAAAAATTATTAGTTTCCACGTCATATATGGGTTCAGTTTCGATGACCCAGTACTAAATCGATTCCCATATAATAGAGATCTTTCATTTAACGGCCTTCGAAGGAACAATCTTTATTATTTTATTTCCTCAACATCCCCATCGGTGAGAATGCTTGTTCATTTAACTCACGTCTTCTCCCCGTGCATCGAAACTCAATTTACATGAGTATGGGTGAATTTTATCAGTTTTTCGGTTACCTTGTTGTTTTTTGCCGGTATTTCTGTAGTGCTCTAGAAAATTCTCTTGACCAAATCGACTCCTCGAACTTTTCCAATCAAGCATAAATCGCTTGGCGTGGCCACCTGACGAATTCGTGGTCTTATATATACATACGTAACTACTGTACGTCCGCTGCAGAAAACTTTGTTTGCTTTATCACTGATTTTTAATTATTCTATACTCTACTTTGTCCTATGGTGCATAGCTTGCACTGATTTCTATCTTGGTTATATTATATCCCTTATAATTACTCGTTAGTACCGCGACGACTATATACTCCAAGGCTTATTGATTTGAACTTTTAAATTTTCAAAAAATTTACTTTATTAGCGAGGTCACCGCATCCTATAGCTTCTGTTCGTCAGTATTCGGTCATGAAGAATTAATGGAGAATTCTTACCACCGATTGGTACGGTTCTTTCATTCCGACATCAACTAAATTATACTCAGGCAAGGCCTTGCAATTTACCGAACATATATGAAGCTACATGCTGTGGATTGTTAGATTCAAGACTTATAGTAAAATAAAACTAATCATAGATATGAAAATTCTAATAAATTGTATATTACTTATCAGATTTTTGAAAAGCTGATTCATTTCTGTCCTTGTTTATTTATTAAACAATTACACAATCACTGATAATATTTCAATTCTTCCACTGCATACCTGGACACGAATCTCATGCGATTGAAACATCGTTAAAATAAGCGGAGAGGACTGAGGAGCCACGCTGTATAGAGAAATTCAGGATTCGCATACAAGAATGCGCAAGAAAAACGACGCCATTCGACAAATTCGTATGGAAAACGAATACGTTGATTTCACCAAGACGGATTTCACCAACGTATATTGACGAATACGTTTATTTCACCAAGCTTGTATAAAATCAGATGCTAGTGGCAAGCCTAAGATCTTTTCTGAGGCGTCAGCAGTGTGGAAATTCACCCTGAAGCCCGACTGTCTCACTAATGCCTCGTCTGAGTTGGCCTGAGTCTTGACTTTAGATAGTAAAGGCCAGAGTCTGATTCTCGACATCATGTCGTGGGAACTCAGTATTGAATTAAGAATTTGGAGACCTGATTCTGATCGTCAAATTATGTCGTGGAAACACGATTTTCCTCGTGGGGTGTAAATTCTCGAGTATATTCAGGATCTGGTTTAATGTGTACTTAGGATACGTTAAAGGAGTTTTCAGAATTGTGTTATAATTTAATCATATAATTTTTGAAGCGAAAAAATTGTCTGTAATAAGCTAGTGTGATCTTGGCGACCGGTGCTTGTTTGTCGCGAAATACTTCATAACAAAATTTACAAGTAATGATCGAATTAAAGTTGTTTTTCAAAATATGTTGCTTTTAGTAAAACAGAAAATTGTATCAATTTTACAACACTTCTCTTCAACTTCACTTTTACAACACTTCTCTTTAACTTCACTTCTTGTTGTTTGTTTGTTTGTTTGTTTGTCTGCCACAAATCTCATAATCGATATTTAACACACTTCTACCTGTCCAATCGATCTGAAATTTTGCAAACTTGCGTAAAGTTGGAGACAATGCATGAATCAATTGACAGAATAAATAATTTTGATAAATAAAAAAGTTTTTTTTCAATATTAAAAAAATTGACAAAATAATTTTGTCAGCTACAAATCTTATAAATGATATTTGACACACTTCCACCTGTCCAATTGATCTAAAATTTTGCATACTTGTGTGAAGTCGGAGGCAATGCATGAATTAATTGACAGAATAAATAATTTTGAAACAAATTTTATATATTAAAAAATTTTGAAAAATTTATTTTTTTTTATTTTCGAAAATAAAATGAGAAATTCATTGTACATCTTTAACATTGGAGACACTGGATTCTTTAGAAGTGTTGTCTTTAAAAAGTAATTTTTAAACGTATATTATTAATGTTTGTTTGTCTGTCTGTCTGTCTGTCTGCTACAAATCTTATAATCGAAATTTAACACACTTCTACTTATCCTATCGATCTGAAATTTTGCACACTTGCGTAAAGTTGGAGACAATGCATGAATCAAATGACAAAATAAATAATTTAAAATATATATATATTTTTCAATATTAAAAAAACGAAAAATCAATTTTGTCAGCTACAAACCTTTAATTGATATTTGACACACTTTTACCTGTCCAATTGATCTGAAATTTTGCACACTTGTGTGAAGTTGGAGGCAATGCATGAATCAATTGACAGTATAAATAATTTTGAAAAAAAATTTGTATATTAAAACAAATTGAAAAATTAATTTTTGTAATATTCTAAAATAAAATTAGAAATTCATTATACATCTGTAACATTGGAAACACTGGATTCTTTAGAAGTGTTGTCTTTAAAAAGTTATTTTTAAACGTATATTATTTACAACACTTCTCATTAACTTCACTTCTTGGTGTTTGACTGTCTCTCTGTCTGCTACAAATCTTATAATCTTTTATTTTAACACACTTCTACCTCTCCAATCGATCTGAAATTTTGCACACTTGCGTAAAGTTGGAGACAATGCATTAATCAATTGGCAGAATAAATATCTTTAAAAATTAATTTTTTTTTCAATATTAAAAAAATTGAAAAAATAGTTTTGCCTGCTACAAATCTTATAATCTTTTATTTTAACACACTTCTAGCTGTCCAATCTATCTGAAATTTTGCAGACTTGTGTAAAGTCGGAGACAAAGCATGAATCAATTGACAGAATAAATAATTTTGAAATTTAATTTTCTATTATGTATTAAATAATCAAAAAATTAATTTTTTAATATTCGAAATTAAAATTAGAAATTCATGATGTAAATGTTTTACATTGGAGACACTGGATTTTTTAGAAGTGTTGTCTTTAAAAAGTAACTTTTAAACGTATGTTTTACAATACTTCTCTTTAACTTCTCTTCTTGTTTGTTTGTTTGTCAGTCTGCTACAAATTTTTAATTATAATTTAACACACTTCTACCTGTCATATCAATCTGAAAATTTGCACACTTGTGTCAAGTTGCAGACAATGCATGAATCAATTGACAAAATAAATAATTTTAAAAATTAAAAAAATTGTTTTTTAATATAAAAAAATTGGAAAAATAATTTTGTCTGCTACAAATCTTATAATCAATATTTAATACACTTTTACCTTTCCAATCGATCTGAAATTTTGAACACTTGCGTAACGTCGGGGATACTGCATAAATCAATAATTTGACGGAATAAATAATTTTGAAAATTTAATTTTTATTTAGTAAAAAACTAAAAATGTATTTTTTTAATATTAAAAAATAAAATTTCAAATTCATTGTACATGTCTAACATTGGAGGCACTGGATTCTTTAGAAGTGTTGTCTTTAAAAAGTAATTTTTAAACGTATATTATTTAAATATAAATTTGATGCAATTTTAACAATACACTGAATTTCAAGTTCGTTGACACTCTGTTGCTGAAGAGCCTTCATAGCTCAGGGGTTAGAGCGCTGGTCTAGTAAACCAGAGGTCGGGAGTTCGATTCTCCCTGAAGGCAATTAACGGCTGGAACATTTTGTAATTCTCGGGGCCAGTGAACACTTGATAGTTCACACCTGCGCTCCTCTGAATCATCAGCACTGAATGACACACGAACGTTCATCCGATGCTGCATATGAGGCATCATTAATAACGTTGAATACTGAAGCTGTTGAATCGGAGCGTCATCTTGTCATCTTCTACATGGCATTGCATTGATATCATGAACAACTGCCTCGTAGAAAGATCAAGTGCCCACTTATTTTTATGTAGGAATAATCTATTTCGAATAAAGAAAAATAAACATAGACAAGTTTCAATAGTAGTTTCTGGAAGACTTTTAAAACCAATAGGTGATTAGAAAAATACGTAATTGGGAACTATTGTAGAAGAAAATTATTTATTTTATAGATTTAGCTTTGTCGGCACAATCTTGAGGTATCGTAACAGCCATGCATTGAACGTTCCTGCACTGGTTTGGTTTATTCAAAATCGTTCAGTGAAATTTAACCGTGGCGTACTTTCTAATTAATTATAAGCAGTCTGTAACCGTAGGCCTTTGAGGTAGAATTTTTGACGGAGGTGGTCATGAAATAAATCTGTCCGTTTCGGCAAATGCCTGGAGGTTAAATTTAATAGAAGTAATATTATTATGAAGTAATTGATATGCTATATATAGCTGCCTACTGAAGCACGCCGTTGTTGTAAATTAAGAGGCACGCCGTTGTTGACCTCCTTTTTTTAGCTCATCGATGGAAATAAATGCTATTATTTTCGCTAATTTTGTTTTCCATCAAAAATATCAACGTTCGATGAGCATATAGACGCAACTCATTATTGCTTGTGCGTGATTTATATAATTTTCAATACTATAATTAATGACATACAATTTCCATTAGTGTAGCCCTATGCGTACACAGAACTCTAATAATACAGAAGTACACCTAACTTTCCTCTAATATAAGTTCTTCTTTGTACAGATGTAGTAGCATGTTACTATTTTACATTAATTTAATATAATTTATAGTAATCGAATTACAACGCCCGACGAGGCTCGGTAATAAACATGCAGAGAAGTGCATATTAGCAGCTGAATTGCTCAGAGGCCTATTGAAATTCGAGCTCTGATCGAGTAAGGATATAAACAGGTTGTTGTCGGCCTCAATTCCACCACATGCATTGTAATTGGCCTGCTGGATAACAGATGGATTTCAGATTCCATTTTCAGGTGGTTAATACGCAATGTATTAACGAAATTGTCTGGTAGTTTCCATGAGGGAGCAGATGCTGGTTTTATTTGACAGGAAGTTACAATTACGAAAAATTTTCTGCAAATCTGGTAACTATATATAACGGCCATGTTGCGGTAAAAATTCCAGCTATAAATTTAGTCGCTGTTTTTTCGAGATAGATAATAGTTGCATTTTTTATATAATTAGCTATATATTTTTTATACACGTGCGATTGATGACCAGAGAATTAGTTTATTTATATTTTCAGGGAATGGAACTTTTCTTCAGATGACGGTAGATCAAAAGGCAAATTTCAGGAAGTAGTCTTTCTTTATTAACGACGTTTCGAAAGCAACAAACATTCATTTTCAAGTTAGAAGAGGCATTAAATATTGACATTTTGGTGGAAATAAGTACATAATATAAGTAAATAGGATACACAGTAAAATTTTGGACCAAAAATAAATAAATATAATATATAATATAATAAAAATCGTTAATAAAGAAAGACTACTTCCTGAAATTTGCCTTTTGATCTACCGTCATCTGAAGAAAAGTTCCATTCCCTGAAAATATAAATCAACGAATTCTCTGGTCATCAATCGCACGTGTTTAAACAATTAAATTCTGCCATCTAATACTAATTTTAGCTATATATATGTACTATTTATCGTTTCCTTGCAAAAATTCTTCGGGAGTTTCTGTGCGTGCAAATATATTCGCTTCTTCATATTGAGAATCTTATTAAATGATTGAATGTAGCCCGATGTTAAGTTTTTATGCATAGTGTAAGGAAAGATAAAGAATTATTATTTTATGGAAACAAATTTGAAGCATCTGGTCGGATTGTAATCAAATAGTAAGAAAAATTTTCACTCAGTTGTAAGTTCTAAAAAATATTAAAAATTATAACGCCTATTAATTTACTTTTGTTTCCTGATATGTAGAAACACTATAGTCGGACATAAGAAGTTTCTTCGCCACTTACATTGTTAGGAGAATTATGAACATCATGGAGAGTTCACAAGGAACAATTAGTACGTCATTTATAGTGTCATTAACAGGCAAATGCTTCTTAAAAGAGTGTATGCTTCTTGAATCGGATCATGAAAGTTATTAGAAAAAGTTATAAATAACTACTGCTTATCTAGTCAAAAGAGTTCTCATTTATGATGGCGTGTTTGCACATATTTTGCATACTCACACGACAAGAGGTATTGAGAACACTTAGTAGGTTTTAGTGATGCTTGAAACCGTTGCATCAAAAGAGCAACGAAATTTCCCGACTGTGCAAAAATAATTTAAGGTCGAAAGCACAACCACACCGACCAAATTATGTTCGAGGTGCCATAAAACCAAGTTTTATGAAAGTGTTTTCGTGTGGAACAATAAGGTCTGGTGAACACATTTTTCAGGCTGTTTGTTTCTTAGGTCTCAAAATTAAATTTTGCACAAGGAATTTGTTTGTAGAAAGTGTCAACTTGATATTTTGAAGTTGAACGTTCATGCGTAATTAAATGCGGCCAAAAAATGATGCAAGAAAATAGATTGGAGTCAGTTCTAATGATGTAGGTGAACGCACCTATTCAATTTGCCGGATAATAAACAGTTATTTTTGAACAAACGTGATGACTAATTCTCACTGTAATGAAGTTTTTTTTTTCATATGAACATTCAAGCCCAAGGTTTCACACAAAAAAATATATGATCGACTCTATTCACTAAACAAGTTTTCTCATTTTGAATTGACATTGTAACTTCCATCAGTAAATTTTTGAATGCTTATTCTGTAATTTAAACTTTCTATTTTTTACTTATTCAAAAAACACGTATAATTAGTATCGACCATTATTTTACAGCGATATAATTAATATAGACGATTTTTGTCAATATTTTTTTTACACAATCAATTTGCAATCATTGCGATTATAGAAGTGAATCTTCGTGGTTGCTTCCTAAATGAAAAAAATAATCTCACACAAAATAATTTTGCTAATAAGACAACGAAACAAATGTGAAACTCACCAATAAGTGTCATCGGAATTTGACTTAAATGATCTCGTACTGTAATTAAAAACAGAATGGCGGAAAAAGCATGACCAATATTATTACCTTTCTGCGTTGACTGCTTGTATAATTCCAGACACTCTAATCGATTTAAAATAATTTAAAGTTGATAACCTTATAAACATCTAATTGCCGATGACATATGGACCCAGGGTTCTCGATTCATCTTGAACACTCTTTTGGAATTCATTTATAATAAATTATTTATTATGATTAACGTGTGTACATTTAATAGCCATCAGGAACAATGTCTTCCATTTTTGCCATCAAATTGACGACTTATAGAGTCGCAATGGTTTTTACAACACTTCTCTTTAACCTAACTTCTTTTTGGTTTGTTTGTTTGGCTGTCTGCTATAAATATTATAATCGATATTTAATGCACTTCTATCTATCCGATCGATCTGAAATTTTGCACACTTGCGTTAAATTAAGGACAATGCATAAATCAATTGACAGAATGAATAATTTTATACATGAAAAAAAAAATTTCAACACTAAAAAAGTTGAAAATAGTTTTGTCAGCTACAAATCTCATAATCTACATTTGACACACTTCTACCTGAAAATTTGCACACTTGCATAAAGTCAGAGACAATACATGAAACAGTTGACAGAATAAATAATTTTGAAAATTTAATAAATTTTTATACAAAAAATTGAGAATTAATTTTTCTTAATATTTGAAAATAAAATTAAAATTTAATTGTACATGTCTAACATAAAGCCACCGGATACCTTAGAATTGTTGTCTTTAAAAGGAAAATTATTAAACGCATATTATTATCTAACGTGCCCGTCGAAAATTTAAAATAATGATGCCAGAAATTTTTTTCCGTGATACATTTCAAAGATTTTTGGGTGAAGGCAAAAATACTCTGACTGCTGGTAAATAGTTTCAGAGCAAATGAGCCTACGTAAATATTTCAGAACAGAACGTTTGTCTTTATAATTAAATAGAGTTATTATTCTCTAATCTTTGACTCCCTCTACAATTTTACAAAATGAGTTCTGGCTTTACCTCTCTTACTCGCAAGTCATACAAATGCTGCCAAAAAATTAAGTCTAGGGCTTCTTTGAAGTTTAAGTTAAACAAGAACTTGTTTAATATTGGCGACATCAACTCTGCGTTACTTGACAGAGATGATTCCTGATGTAAGAGATTCATGTTCTCTCAAATATCGATTTTAGAATCAATTTTTAATTCGAATAGGTATTAATTAATGCAAGGTTCATCACAAATCACATTCAACAATGAACTTCTGTAAAACTTAGAACTGACACTACCTAAACTAGAAATTAAAATTTTTTACTCAATTCCAGATACTATATCCAGATTTTATGTATGCGTGCTCATACATTTAATATAAATTCGCAGAGCCAGTCTTCAAAGAAATACACAAAAATATACAACGCAGCGTTTAACATCCTCCTAAATGTAGTCACTCGTTTCCGAAGTTGATCATGTAAACATAAGCGTTCACAATTATTTCATCGTCAGTAATCTAAGATGGGTGATGAGGTGAACGGCTGAAACTGATATTATTTAATGAAACTTTTGAGCTTGGGCGTTTTGCTTAGCTGCTGGCCAGGATTTCAAATAAATTTTGAAGAGATCAGCACCTAGCATAATAAAATCTAGGGGAAAAGTGACCGTAAATTAGTAAAAATATTTTGGATTATATCTTCATTCCTTTGGTGATCATTTTCATACATTCTC